GTAGAACTTCGGTTTCAACTCTTTTTTTTTTGTTTTAACCCTGTCGTAGCTCAGTCGATTAAGGCAGTGTCTGGGATGCTCCCGGACGCAGGTTCGAATCCTCGTCACGGCCCTTGTAGGTTTGTTCTATCGTCTCTTGCTCCTATCACAAGACCTCCTCCTTCACCACTTCCCCCTCCAGACATTCCAAAGGCGTCGTGCAGTTTCGGAGCATCTCTCGACTCCAGCATCATCAAGGAAGGAGATGATGTCTACTTCGAGTGTAAGATCGAAGCTAATCCTCGAGCCACTCGAGTCTCATGGCGTCATAATGTAAGTGATTCAAAAGCACTTCTGACCATTTACGTTTGATAAGCAATTTGTAAAATACCAATTTAATTAAGTTAACAGTATTATCCATATTCAAAAAATTACCTTATTTCAAATATCAATTCACTTGGTTTAATAATGTCAGTTTGCAATTCTTAGAGGAATATCTATAATTATATATTCATGCAGACGAGGAGTCACAATAACGTGGCTGAAGTATGTTGACCAGACCACACACTAGAAAGTGAAGGGACGACGACGTTTCGGTCCGTCCTGGACCATTCACAATCGACTTGAAAATGGTCCAGGACGGACCGAAACGTCGTCGTCCCTTCATCTTCTAGTGTGTGGCTTGGTCAACAGTATGACTATATAGCACTTGGAAGGAATGACGGCTAATCACTTGTACCATCGAGGATCGAACATCGACCCAGCAAGAAGCGAGGCATGAGAAGAAATATATCTGAACGCCACACATTTGGAACGCTGAAGAACACAACAAATGAGACTACAGGAGACTTTACATACAAATATACAGCCAAAATATAGACACAGAAACATTTCGATCTCAACTTTAATACATTATAAATACCTACTCTAACACTAGTCTTACGAGACACAAATATGTACAAAAAAACGTACCAGAAGAACGCAATGCAACATATCCACTTAAAATTCCAAGAGTGTTAAGACTTTAAACACAGCAGCACTGTAAAATAAAATCCAGCTTCGACCCCCCTCACTTGGTCAGCGCTATATGGAACGTGATCCCCAGGCCGGCTGGACCCGTCACAAGATATCCTACTTCAGCAGATAATCTTGAAAACGACCTTGTTCCCTTGACGCTTCCGCTGAAACGAGTTATTTTTTTCTCTGCCCTGTCAGGGGAGGATGGCCAGGGGCCAGATTCACGAAAGAACTTACGCAAGCACTTACGAACGTGTACATCTTTCCTCAAGCTTTGACGGCTTTGGTTACATTTATTAAACAGTTTACAAGCATGAAAACTTGTCAATCAACTGTTGTTATTGTTATAAACAGCCTCCTGGTGCTTCGGAGCTCATTAACTGTTTAATAATTGTAAACAAAGCCGCCAAAGATTGAGGAAAGATGTAAAGGTTCGTAAGTGCTTGCGTAAGTGCTTTCGTGAATCTGGCCCCAGGGGTCCACAGATGTCCTGGTTATAGCAGTGTGCCGAAATATATAGCTCTTGTAATAGCACTTTCTCTGTAACTTGCTGACATTGTAACTATATGGTGTGAAGGATAGATGAAATTGTTTATGTAATCTAAGATGAAGTCTGATAAAGACCTTTTGTGCCCTCTGTAATGCTTTTGCGCTACCGCTCACAGGATGAGTATGGGGTGCACAATAAACTAGCCTCCTTCGGCGGCAACAATCATCGACAAGATACAGGCTATGTAGCCTCTTAGTACAGTGGCAGGCTCGATAACAGGCATGCTGGCTATGAAATACGATAGCAAGCACGTAGCAAATCATCAGAATGATAACAAGCACAGTTAACTTGTTAATAGAAAAATGGTGGCACAGAGATTGCCGTAATCACAGAACAATGGTGGCAGAGAAATTGCCATGACCACAGAGACCACGATAGCACTCACAGATAACAGACTTGGCTGCTCACCAAAGACTAAGCCCGACAGGAACCACAGACGCGATAGTTACAAATCCCAAGTAAGCTGTTTAACCAATACTCAGCCACAGAAATAGCCGACTCAAGATTTACAAAGACCCAAGAAGAGGACGCGACTCCAGAATCATTCTCCTCGCTATGGGGACCCGACATAATGGGTCTTATATACAGAAAAACCGCACCCATTATCTAGATTGTGGAGTCAGAAAAAGACTTTTATTAGCATCTATACTTCAGTGAATCTGATTCCTTTCTAAAGTGATACAGTGATAGATATCTAAGTGACTCTTGAAGATGTTTACAAAGGTAAATAGCTTAACTATTAAGATGTTAGTTTAACTATTTTTTTAATAATTATTTACAGTTATTTGAGCAGTACTGTCTGTAGGCACTAGTAATATTGCTTGCCATTGATGGTATTCCCTAACCTGAAGACTGTTCTTCTGTTCAACAATATTGATTTGAAACATGTTCTCTCTCCTGCGGCAGGACAAGCCGCTGGACCACGACGTGCCGGCTGGTGTAATCATCAGTAATCAGAGTTTAGTCCTTCAGAAGGTGGTGAGGGCTCAGGCTGGCCGCTATACCTGTCACGCACATAATCTGGTCGGGGATGGAGGCTCGAATTCCCTAAGACTCGATATTAAGTGTGAGTTTCTGTTTACTGTTTGAGCCTGTAGGATGGAGCTGTTAGCTCTTGGGCCCCGCCTTTCTAGCCTTTTGGTTGTCTAATGCACTGACCTCTCGATCTAATTTTTATCTATCATATCTACTAAATTCTCTCTCTCTCTCTTTCTCTCATTCTCTCTCTCACATAATCCACAGGATGAAGCCCGTAGCAGCTGTCTAACTCTCAGGGACCTATTTACCGCTAGGTGAACAGTGGCATCTGGTGAAAGAAACTCTGCCTCGATCGGGAATCGAACCCGGGCCCTTAGGACTTCAACCCCAGAGTGCTGTCCACTTGGCTGCGAGAACCTGTGTGTGTGTGTGTGTGTGTGTGTGTGTGTGTGTGTGTGTGTGTGTGTGTGTGTGTATTCACCTAATTGTGCTTGCGGGGGTTGAGCTTTGGCTCTTTGGTCCCGCCTCTCAACTGTCAATCAACTGGTGTACAGATTCCTGAGCCTACTGGGCTCTATCATATCTACACTGTGTGTGTGTGTGTGTGTGTGTGGTGTGTGGTGTGTGTGTGGGTGTGTGTGTGTGTGTGTGTGTGTGTGTGTGTGTGTGTGTGTGTGTGTGTGTGTGTGTGTGTGTGTGTGTGTGTGTGCGCGTGTACGCGCGCGCGTACGCGCGCGCACGTATTTCTTGCATGTAAATAAAATGTTGTACACATACAATATTCGGAAACCTGTCAAACAACTATTTTTTTTAGTGTTGCGTGGAAGAGTGTCGCGGATGTAAGTGTTTCGTAGTGTTGAATTGCAGCAAATGTGATACGTTTATTGTATTATAAGTCTGTGGTGTTGGTACAGTGACAGAGTTGTACCATCCATGGAGTCGAATTATTTTGTACCAGGTGTGTGTGTGTGGGGGGGGTTGAGTGCCTGTATATGTGATGACAGGTGTGTGTGGGGTTGAGTGCCTGTATATGTGATGACAGGTGTGGGGGGTTGAGTGCCTGTATATGTGATGACAGGTGTGTGGGGTTGAGTGCCTGTATATGTGATGACAGGTGTGTGGGGTTGAGTGCCTGTATATGTGATGACAGGTGTGTGGGGTTGAGTGCCTATATATTTGGTGTTGAGTAAATAACACCGAGTCCCTCTATGATTCTACAAAAGAGCAAAATATTTTCAGATACAAAATAAAGTCCAAATTCAACTCTAACTTTTACTAGATAATAAATACCATTAATAAAAAGCCAAATACATGTTTAAACAACAGCCAGAACGTCACTAGATGATAAAAAAACATGTAATTTAAACTACTATCTTTAAGATATCTCTTCATCTGGGTACTGTAACTTAGTCAGAGATAGAAATGGAATTACTTTCTTGCCTTCCAGTCCTGCCAGCGAGTTTGGCTGGGCATTGAGGCGCTAGGGGACTAAACTCCTTTAAAAAAACAATGGGAGTAGCGCGCTGAATGGGTGAGTCAATTTCGTATTCCGGATTGCTGAGTTTGGGGTAGCACTCACCTGCAAGTACTTACTCACTTCGAAGTACTCACTTGAGGGATGATAGGGGAGAAGTGCCCTTGGGGGGTAGAAATACCCTAAGTTACTCTATCCCTTTGAGATGTATTTCTTGCTTATCTCAATAAACATACTTGAACTTGAACTTGATAGGGAAGAAGAGAGGATTCACTGACAAGGCCTCCAAATATTTTGTAGTTTATTGTAATGGCTTAATTTCGTGGTTGTTCTTATGATATATAAATTTTCAAGTGTGTGATGTTTTCACTCACCTTTTTCTCTAATCTATTCCACTTATTGACAGTAATTAATCACTGGAGATGTTGATCATTAGTCTTCCTAATTACCTGTCTTCTTAATTTCCTAATTACCTGATGTTCCCAGCTGTAAACATTATTTCGGTGTTTAGTTTAAAATAATCAATTTTGTTATCTATCCTCTATTCCTCTTCCTCTCAAGGAGTTCCTTTAGCCTTTCCTCACAGCTCAGCAACTAGCCTTGTTGCATACCTATAGACCTTTTCTAGGTTTGCAATATGCTTTTTCAAAATGAAGTTCCGTGCCTAAGCAATCTTTGCAATGAATCACATATCGGCATCAGTAACAGAATTTGTAAACAGAATTTACCTAACAGCGTATGTTTGTCTGAAATAAGCCAGAGTATATATATATATATATATATATATATATATATATATAAACAATCTTTGGACAACACCCACCAGTGGGACTCGAACCCAGAAAGCACAACTACCTTCCAGTAGCTGGCATAACTAGTATGCTTTAACCCACTACGCCATCAGACCTTACAACAGTTAGGTCTGTTAAAGGTGGGTTAAAGCATACTAGTTATGCCAGCTACTGGAAGGTAGTTGTGCTTTCTGGGTTCGAGTCCCACTGGTGGGTGTTGTCCAAAGATTGTTTATCTTCACTTGTGGTTTATGCAAGTATAGGCTATATATATATATATATATATATATATATATATATATATATATATATATATATATATATATATATAAATTGCGTAACTCGCCAAGTTCCCGCTGCCAAACACTCCCCTCCAGTGCTTAACGTTGCGGCATATCTTAGTAAAATACCGCCTCAGTCGCTTCTTTATGCAGTCAATAAACTCCCCTTATCACACGAGAGCCCCTGAATTGCTACAGCACACATGACGACACCCCACACACACATAACACCCACACATTCTCCTCCATTTTCAGACGCCCCTGTGTGCTCGCTTGGACAAGTCACCACATATGCTGTCGGTCGATACGAGGACGCAGAGGTGACTTGTTCTGTCGACGCCAATCCCCTCCAGGAGTCCTTTCAGTGGACGTTTAACAACACGGCAGATACCATCGACGTCCCCCAAGGTCGCTTTACCTCTCTCAGTAGCCACAGTGTAATCACCTATACTCCCATGACGGCACTGGACTATGGCACTCTGCTCTGTTGGGCCACTAATGAGATTGGCACTCAGAAGGAACCTTGCGTCTTTCACATTGTCCCAGCAGGTGAGGAACATGCACTCAATAACACACTCACACACTCAATAATACACACACACTCGCACTCACAATAAACTATGATTTACCTCAACTTTGACCTCCAGGTAAATAAGGGGAATTAATTATCATCTGGAGAGTTTAAAATCGTGAAATCACAATGTTATTTTCATCACAAAAATACATATGTGCTCCGTATGTATGTATACTTAAGTGTGATCTGTATGTATGTAGACTTACACATGTGTGTACACTTATATATTTGTCTTTTGTATGTATGTACACTTGCACACACATTATATACACTTAGATGTATTCAACATGTATTCTACAGTGAGCTGTACGATGTATTCTAGTGAATACATCGTACAGTGAATACAGAGAGCTACATGTATTCTACAGTGAACTGTATGATACCAGTGTAAACATTTAAAATTAGAAATGCTCTTTTTTATTTAAAAAAAATCACTTGGAAACAATATTCTATTTGCATATTCTCTCGTTTTTTTTATCTGGCGAAAACTAGAGTCAACTGTCTAAACGCTGTTACGGATTTTAAGCATTTTTAGCACCGCGTTTTGAAATGACAGATCGACAATTAAATAATTCATCTTGTACAGTAACAAAAGGTGCAATTTTAGCACAAACATCAGTATTACATATCAGTTTGGCCTCAAGTTAAACAATTAACAATTGTTAATTAACAATTTGGGCTCAAGTCCCCTACGAGAAGAATCAAACCAGATGTATAAGGCTCTAGGGACCCAGGGATACAAAGGATGTAGGGGATGTAACACTCTTTGAATTAGCATTTTTAGTCTATCTCCTATCCTTTGTCTTAGAGATGGACGGAGAGCTGGAAGAGTTAATATAAGATTTTTTTTTTAAATAAAAGTGTTTTTAAATGTAACTCTTATTAAACGATTGATAATTCCTTAGATTGCAACCCACAACAGTCTACTATATCATCCATATATCTATATATATTCTGCTAGGTGAGTAGAGGCATCAGGTGCAGGAAAACGTACCCAAACTCGTGGCCCGAACCCAAAAATATCTTCGTGGTCTTTGCTGGAAATAAAACCTACTCAGGTCTTTGTTATTCTCAGACAATTTCTCTTTTATATTCACAAAATCATATCATTAAGCCAGCATTTTCCCTCCAGGTATACCATTACTTGGTATATATATATATATATATATATATATATATATATATATATATATATATATATATATATATGTCGTACCTAATAGCCAGAATGCACTTCTCAGCCTACTATGCAAGGCCCAATTTGCCTAATAAGCCAAGTTTTCCTGAATTAATATATTTTCTAAAAAAAATTTCTTATGAAATGATAAAGCTACCCATTTCATTTTGTATGAGGTCAATTTTTTTTAATTGCAGTTAAAATTAATGTAGATATATGACCGAACCTAACCAACCCTACCTTACCTAACCTAACCTATCTTTATAGGTTAGGTTAGGTTAGGTAGCCGAAAAAGTTAGGTTAGGTTAGGTAGGTTAGGTAGTCGAAAAATAATTAGTTCATGAGAACTTGGCTTATTAGGCAAATTGGGCCTTGCATAGTAGGCTGAGAAGTGCGTTCTGGCTACTAGGTACGACATATATATATATATATATATATATATATATATATATATATATATATATATATATATATATATATATATATATAGGGGTACCACCTCTGGTGCAGTTGCAGGGACCCACATCCTCGAAGAAGAAAACAAAGAGCATTCAGGGAAGATCTTGTGGATTCTCACTGAATACTTTATTCTTTTCTTCTCCTACCACCCCTATTATTTTTTTGTATGTTTCGTTTTATTTTATTGCAATGCTACAGTTTACAGAGAACACACATACACACACACATAATATATTATATATATATATATATATATATATATATATATATATATATATATATATATATATATATATATATATATATATATATATGCACTAACTTGCCTAAAACACGCAAGTGAAGCTTTATAACTTTAGAACACTTTCCCATCAGGAGACTCGAACCCTAGTCAGCACAGAAGCCTCACAGCAACTGGCATAGCAGGTACGCCTTTAACCCACTGCACCAAACTCAGACCCTTAAAAAGAGATGCTTAATGGATATTCGGGTTTACATGTTTCCTACAGATAAACCTGAATTAATCTATGAGTACCACAGGTAAACCTGAATTAATCAATGTGTACCACAGGTAAACCTGAATTAATCAATGTGTACCACAGGTAAACCTGAATTAATCAATGTCTACCACAGATAAACCTGAATTAATCAATGTCTACCACAGATAAACCTGAATTACTCAATGTGTACCACAGGTAAACCTGAATTAATCAATGTGTACCACAGGTAAACCTGAATTAATCAATGTGTACCACAGGTAAACCTGAATTAATCAATGTCTACCACAGATAAACCTGAATTAATCAATGTGTACCACAGGTAAACCTGAATTAATCAATGTGTACCACAGGTAAACCTGAATTAATCAATGTGTACCACAGGTAAACCTGAATTAATCAATGTGTACCACAGGTAAACCTGAATTAATCAATGTGTACCACAGATAAACCTGAATTAATCAATGTGTACCACAGGTAAACCTGAATTAATTAATGTGTACCACAGGTAAACCTGAATTAGTCAATTTCTCCCACAGGAAAGCCTGAATCAATGTCTCCCACAGGTAAGCCTGAATCAATTTCTCCCACAGGTAAGCCTGAATCAATGTCTCCCACAGGTAAACCTGAATCAATTTCTTCCACAGGTAAGCCTGAATGTCTCCCACAGGTAAGCCTGAATCAATTTCTCCCACAGGTAAGCCTGAATCAATGTCTCCCACAGGTAAACCTGAATCAATTTCTCCCACAGGTAAACCTGAATCAATTTCTTCCACAGGTAAGCCTGAATGTCTCCCACAGGTAAACCTGAATCAATGTCTCCAACAGGTAAGCCTGAGCCCCCAGGCAACTGCAGGGTCGGAGAGGGAACCAGGACGTCTGTGAGAGTGAGGTGTGAGAGTGGGGGTAGTGGAGGTCTACCTCAACACTTCCACCTCCAGGCCAGTCTTTATCACGGTCACCACCACCTGAACCTCACCGCCACCTCAGAACCGGACTTCCATGTGAGTTAGATTTCAGAGCGTTCTTGGAGGGAGACATGATCACTACCTACAAAATTCTTAGAGGAATTGAGAGGGTAGATAAAGTGTTTAACACAGTACGCGAACAAGGGGACTCAGGTGGAGACTGAGTATCCAAATGAGCCACAGAGACGTTAGAAAGAACTTTTTCAGTGTCAGAGTAGTTAACAGATGGAATGAATTAGGCAGTGATGTGGTGGAGGCTGACTCCATACACAGTTTCAAATATAGATAAAATAGAGCCCAGTAGGCTCAGGAATCTGTACACCAGTTGATTGACAGTTTAGAGACAAGCCCAAAGAGCCAGACCTCAACTCCCGCAAGCACAACTAGGTGAGGAGACACACGCACGACATCAAAAATACTCACAAGAGCGCCCTCCTTGAAGACGACGACACCGTTACCAGAATCACGACCGAGTCATTCTTGGAAATACGAAAATACACGACGGGAAATGCATTGCGGTTGTTAAATGACCATAGAGGCAAAATTTATTATCCATTCTTTTGTCCAAATTGCAATATCCATCACCAGACCAACGGTTCCATTTGAAAAGGATTCTTGCAAACGGAACAACAGAAGAGGTGGACCCGTTATTTGATGCCCAATGCTGCTGCTTGCTTGCATGTGCTGCCATAAGGGCGCCTGACAGCTGGGTGGACAGCGCTTCGGATTCGTAGTCTTGAGGTTCCGGGTTCGATCCCCGGTGGAGGCGGAGACAAATGAGCAAAATGTTTCTTTCACCCTGATGGCCCTGTTACCTAGCAGTAAATAGGTACCTAGGAGTTGGACAGTTGCTACGGGCTGCTTCCTGGGGGTGGAGGCCTGGTCAAGGACCGGGCCGCGGGGACACTAAGCCCCGAAATCATCTCAAGATAACCTCAAGATACACTATTTCATCACTGCGATGACAATGAAAATCTAAGAAAATCTATAAAAAATCTTTTCTTATTAAGACTACTTAATAGCTCGGTCAATAGAGCTTCGGGCTTAAACGCTCGGGGTTCAGGGTTCGAGTCTCCCAGAGCCCAGGTGAATGGGATCTATGTTTTAAAATTTAGCCATCTCAAATTTTAAGGAATTTAAATATATCCAATATGTCAATAATTTACTAACGTATCTTGACTACAAGAATGGTTAGGTTAATTTCAAATTCAGTCAGTTCAAATTAAAATTATTATATTAACTTTTCAAGAGTTGTGCTTAAGGCCTTAAGATCAATTATTATTGATCTTAAGGCCTTAAGATCAATTATTATTGATCTTAAGGTCTTAAGATTATTATTAGATTAAGATTAAATCATAAAATTATTATCATTTATTTAGTCCACGGCACTGATAAACTAACTAGATAACCAGCATGTATTCTTTAGGTCTAAATATGTATAAATATGTAGGTCACATTCCTCTTGAAGATGTATTATTAAATGCGAAAGTACTTAAAGAAATTCCTGTTTTAATTCTCACACACACACACACATATAAACTGAAAACGCCACACCCCAGAAGTGATTCGAACCCAGACCGCCAGGAGCACAATGCAATTGGTGTACATGGTACCTTATCCACTCGACCATCAGTGACCGTACAAAAGACGATGACAGCCGAGGCTATTTGACCACCGTCCCGACGGCACTTTGATGGTAATCTTGGCCACAGTTATTTCACCAAATCACCAAACTTTGTGGAGTCACTTGAACAACACAAATACGAACAAGCTTGAATGGTCCCCAGGCATATATGCAACTGAAAACTCCACACCCCAGAAGTGACTCGAACCCAGACCGCCAGGAGCATATATGCTGTTGTGTATATATATAAATGCATATACATATACATATATTTTCAGTTACATATATGCTTGGAGACCATTCTCCAAGCAGAGATAGAAATATAAAATAAAAATAGGAGATATGGGGGTGGGGGGGGGGGGAGGGGAGGGTTTGCATATACATATGTATGACGAATATTTGAATACTAGATAGAGTGCATGTGTTCCCCTCTCACAGAGGGGAATCGAACCACCGCCGGGCAGCTGGGAGGGGAAGATAGCCAGCTGGTGCCAGATGTTGCCATAATTTCCTTTCCCTCCACAGATGGAGAACTTGCAGATGGAAGGAAAATACCAGCTGGTGATTACTGCCGTCAATGACAAGGGTTCGAGCCCCGGCACTCACCTCACTGTCAGCAGCATTGGATCCAATGGTTCCGTCTATCAGTTTCATGGTTAGTGATTATCTTATGTATAGTGGCTAATAGGGTAGTTATAGCTATCAGATGTGTGTGGTTGGTGGTAAATGGCTAATTGAGTGGTTAAGGTTAATTATTATGTGTATAGCTATTGATGGCTAGTAACTAGCTGTGGTTGGCTAGTGGTTGCTAGTTACCAGCCTATTTAGTGGTAGTTAGTGGCCATCTGTATGGATAATTATGGCTAGTTATCAGTTGAATGGTTAGTGAGGGTTAGTTACATTCTACATGTTTAACTGTGGATAGCTGTCGGCTGCTTGGGTAGTTACTGATAGTTAAGTTAAATTAAGTTAACTGTCGATAAATAATATTTAACTCCTAATATTAACTGAATATTTGCGACTTTCAATCTTGGCATTCCTGCTATCCTCAGCCACATAAAAGATAGCACTCGTCCATTAAAGAGTTTAAAGTTGGCTATATGGTTATCTAGAGATAACTTACCAATATAATGTCTTAGTTCTATCATTTATAGCGACTTATTTTACAATCTTGACTACCTGGTACGATATGGAGGAGAAGCTGTTACCCATGCAGCAGGCTCCCTCTCTCAACTATGCAAAAATTTTCCAATGGAAAGGCAAACGCCAATACGAATGGTTCTGTGAGTAAATTAGTGATATTTAATATGCTATAACAAGTAATATCATATTAAATGTCACTAATTACTAGGTTTTTCTTCCCAGACGGACCGCTGGAAGCGGAAGTTCGCGACGGTGGCAAAAATGGCGCCAAAGCCGAAGGACCAGAAACCAGCGATGGTGAGTCGTTACTCGACGCTCTTGCTCTCCCTTCCTTTATAATGGGAGTTCTGGGCGTCGGCTCAGGTCTAGTGCTATTGGTAATTCTCCTCCTACTCTTCATCACCTTCCGCAAAAGGAGGGCACCCCAACCGCTCCCCCTGACGGAACCACTGCATCACACCAGCACTTCGGAGACCCTCCAGGGAGCCAATAGATCGCCCAGATGCGGCCACAACACATCTATGTTGACGCCAGAGAGCCACGACGTGCTGCAGGACAGAGATGTTCCTGTGAGTAGTGAAGATATTGTGTTTCGAGTCCATACATTACGTGTGATAGTGGAGATATTGGCCGCTTAGACATCTATGTTTGAATTCCATCAGGTTGAGACAGAGAACGATGCTGATCCAGATGTGATCCCTCTACAGGAATCCTCCTGTCGTGGGTGTGAGATGGAGATGGCTCCAGCGTCCACTCTCTTGCCTTCAGAGCGCTACAACTACGCCCAAGTTCCTGGGCTCCATCCACTCACTGTACGCATTACTGTATCCCATTTTTTGGCGTAATATTTTTTTTTTTTTGATGTTGCATTGTATAATTATATACCTGGGGCCAGATTCACGAAGCGGTTAGGGAAGCACTTACGAACCTGGGGCTAGATTCACGAAGCAGTTAGGCAAGCACTTACGAACCTGGGGCCAGATTCACG